TAAGAATCAACATACAGAATAAAAGAAAAATTTAACAATCCTTCATTAAAAAGTACACTTGGAGACAATAGCTTGTGTCTTGGCTCGATAAAACCATTTGCATAGACTCGAAGCTGTTTAATAGTAATCAATCGCTCTTTCTTTGATAATGTAAACTGTAGTAATGTATAGCTGGCTTATAAACTTGACAAAATTATATGCTATTCTTGTAACCAAAATGTCGCACAGCTTAGTGGCCAATGTTAATATTACTATTTATTACATTTAAAAGTAAAACTTTCACGATTTCATAGTTAGGAAAAAAATTTAAATGGACTTGAGGATTGGACTTTTGAATGAGAGAAAACAGTAAGATAGGTGACACATTTTAAGTAGCCATAAACATACTTTATTAGTGGTATAAACCAGAATTCAGTTTCAGCAATATACCAATAGGCTTTGCCAAAAATATAGATATTAAGTTAATACCTATATGCTGTTATTTGTATGCTGTATCATTGTACACTAACTTGCATTAAGTTACATATATATATAATTTCTATTAAGTGGTATAAACCAGAATTCAGTTTCAGCAATATACCAATAGGCTTTGCCAAAAATATAGATATTAAGTTAATACCTATGCTGTTATTTATGCTGTATCATTGTACACTAAATTGCATTAAGTTACATATATATATAATTTCTATACTGCAAATGAATCATGGTAGGCCTATGTGAGACCTGTATTATTAAAAGGTAATAACGATTATTATTATATTATTATTACCTCTTGTATGTAGAATTTCCTTTCCTCTATTTTTCTTCAATGTCTTCTTGGTATTAAAACAAAATCAAACTCACCAATTCAATTACTGTACCTCAATTTAACTGTTAACATTGTTGTGAGGGGTTGGGGTTAGCCACGGGGATCGTGGAAACAGTTTTAACACATGTTTAAAAGCATTGTTGGTTGCCGCGCCAGTTACTGGGATTGCGGAACAGAAATGTCCTGTCGACACCGTTGATTAAACAGCGTTGGTGGTGTAGTGGTTAGACTACTCGACTGACGATCGTGAGATACCGGGTTCGAAACTCGTCGGCGGTCATAACTTTTTGCTTCCGATTTTGTTAGAATATAATTTTCCCTTAACTTCACTAATTAGTTTTTTTTTATCTGAACCATTTATAATTTAATTTGGGGATTAGAATGCATTTTTTATAAATACAATAACTTTATGTTTGTAATCATTTCCTAACAGCAAATAATTGATATAGGCTAATCGATTATTTAAATTATCAATTCGTTTAAGTATAGGCCTATAACCTAGGTCTAGTTTTATTTTAGCAGTTAAAAGTAAGAAATATATCGTCGACCACTTTCAAAATTTCCCTTTTGTGCAATAAAATGTAGGCCTATCAATACGACTATGAAGTAGACTAAAAATAATAAGTGAAAACTTTAGGAATTGGTTTACGTTACGTTACATTTGTAATAAAACATCAAAATAAGCAGTTTGCTTAACCCTAAACCTTATTTTTTCTAGGTTTTGTCGAAGTGCACACGGCAATATTAGTTAATCCTTTGGGATTTTATTGTCTAAGTTACACCATTTAGTTTTAAATCTTACCGGTAAACCAAGTGGTTGTGATTTCATTTCGCAAAATGATTTTGTATTTTTAGCTACATTACATTTTTTATAAATTTACTTGCAAATCAAGGGCGGTGTGATATTTGTTATTATATAATTATATGTTGTAGTGTTTTTAATAACCTCGTTTTATATTCTCCTTCTCCACACAACATAGGCTTAGGCCTAATTAGTTGACTATTCATTGTTGTTAAAAAGAACAGAACGATTATAAAATTAAATAAAAACGGCATGAATTTAATCACTCAATATAGAACTGATTGTTAATAAATTTCGTATTACATGCAATAGACTAATATGCACTTTAGTATTTATCCGACTTTTTCCTTTGTACTGTATTTACAATGTGTTAGATTTGTTTACTAACATATGTCTTGTTTACTTTTTAGTGTTGACTCGCAAATAATGTCATGGCAACCAATTAACCCATAAGGCCCATGTTAAATTTCTAAAAGTTTGCATTCATGTAGGGAAAATTCCTATGGTCCGATTTGTACCATTTCAGATTTATACCTTCCCATGGTTGGTTACTATGACTGTGTTAAATTTCGTGAAGATCGCTTCAGCCGTTCAGGAGAAGTATTTGTAATAAAAAAGCAGGAGTGTAGTATAAGAGCTTCGCTCGCTTCGCTCGCTCCGCTCAATTAGCATATTTCATGTTGGTAAAATATTTAAATTTCCGACAACCATACATAATTTTAATTACGCAAAATTATTTCCTCATAGGCAGAAAAAAATTATTTCTTCGTTCTTTCATTTTTCATCCGATTTCTGTATTTCAGTGTAGAACTGTTTGCATATTGTGTTTCTCTATATCTATTCACTTAATTCATTTATTATGTTGACGTATTTCTTTTAGTTAAATACAGCTGCATAAGGTCCAATACGTAGATGGTTATGACCTTGTATCTTGAACAGTTATGTTCATTTCTCTTGATTCAATACATCTGTATTTTTGTCAGTCTTTTACATATGCTGCGTTGTATTCCTATCCATTCAGTACATCCAATGTGTTTCTGTAGTTCTATTGATCTATAGAATGTCATCCTTGTCCAGTAATCTTCTTTCACACCCCTCATACTTAGGACGAACAAAGCAGATTAAAAAGCCAAAGGTCCAACACGCAAGGGGATCTCGAGGTTTTACAAACTTTGCAGACCAGTGTCTCTTTTATTTAAAAACTAGAGTTATTTTTTCTTTGTCATTTTATAGACTAATTATTTATCTACACAAACTATTATTCAAAAATTCAGTTATGTCCAATGATACTGATTAACCATGTGTTGACCAATCTTAAACAGGTAGAAAAGGTTAAAAAGATTACCTATATACAGTAGTAGCATAGTCTATGATAGTGGTAATTTACACCTATATAAATAACTTCTTGATCAGCATTGTACCTGTTATTAAATTTACGTAAAAAAATGAGACGTCTTATAACACTTAAAAAGTGTTTTAATTGTTATAAGACGTCTCTTTTATTTGCCCATATAGAGTAAAATGGTGAACATTCAATTTTTCACAGTTTTCTTATTTAAAGTTTGTTGTATATTTTTTTATACTACCACCTGAAGAAAAATAAATAAATCGTTATCAAACTTTAAAATAGATGTAAACTAAATTTAATCATATGTCATTTTTTAGTTTCAAACATATATATATAGGCCTATTTATAAATAAATGTTAAATTCACATCGTTGATTTACTAACAACATTTTTTACTGTCAAAAGGTTTTATTTAAAGAAGTTATAATGTAGTACCTACTTTCGTTTTTTTAATTGTAGAGGTGGGGCTTCGGTTTTCGAAGTCCTGGGTTCAAATCCCACCAATACCCAATGGACATTATCTAATTGAAAAATTTAAGGGCTAGAGCTGATTTAAAAAAATATAGATTTTAGTACCTCCCCTCTTAAATGATAAATATCATGTAATATATTGATCTTTTTAATAAGTAAGATTTATGCAGTATTATCTGTTTTCTTAAATTAAAACTACGCCATCTGCAAATACCCCTGCCGCATAAAACCTGCAGACTAAGCGAATTTCCATTTGCCTGATTGGATTTACGCTAAAATGTCTCAATTTTCCAAATTTTATCAAAATATGTTCAAAAACAAGCAAACTACAACAGTTTACGTATTCTCCATAAGAATAACACAGGAATTTTAAATTTAATTTTTTTTTCCTCCTTAACCATTAGGCGCATGATAAAGCTTAAATATACTTAGTTATTTGTTTTTAAGCTCTACATAAATGGTTTGGAAATAAATTGCTAAAGTCTATGTTTTTAGGGTTATAAATAGGAAAACCCATTTTTTTCCTGCTAAATAAATTGTGTTTTACTTATCCATGAATGTAAAGTAATGTATACAAAACAATAATATACTTTTAAAATATCTATATAATAATTTTAAAATATTATTTTTCTTGTGAAATATTGGTTTTTGCTTCGAGGAAAAAGCATTAGTTTTCTTGATACCATCAATTTCAAACCGAGACAACTTGGACCGAAACTCTCGATATCACTCCGAGTATCCATTGCGAGGGAAGAACGATTTCTTACAATCAGTGGAAGTGGCGATATGATGTATAGGTTGGAAAAAGATTTCCAGAGGTTTGCTTCAGGGGAACGCTGACAGCCAACTTGTATCAGTTTTTAATTGGGGGAGTGAGCTTGGGGGAGGGAAAGAACATAAATCTTGGCGAGAGTCATACATCAAAAAAATTTTCAGCTGACTAGCCCAGCGTTTACCCCCTACAGGGGCTGACAGCTGAAAGTAAGGGAACAAACCTCTTATTAATCTAATGGAAGACAAAGAGATAAATCTATGTCAGGAGCAGAATAAGGGATCGAGGTTGTGTTCTTGTGAGGTTGTAGGTAGGCTGTCTGCTAAAACGGAAAGTATTTTCCAATTTTTTCAGGGATTTTATTAAATTGTGTCGAACGTAGAGGTCACCATTTTTTAACTAATATACCAGGCGTGAAACGTATATAGCTGCAACACACACATGTAAAAAAAATACTCTCGAGTCTCATTTGATTCTGATCAATCAGAAAAAAAATGGCAAAGCATCAAAACAATAGTGCAGTTTTGTTAAATTTATTTTATTTGAAAAACTATTTGTAATCAACTCTTGGTAGTAAATAGAATTTAGGTAATTACGGAAAAACAATTAAAGTAATTAGTTTTTAATTGGATATTTGTTTTACTTTGTAAGGAATTAATTAGAATTAAAAAAAATAAGTACCTAACATTAGTTAGTTCATCATTTTACATAAAATACTTTGTCCATGACAATGTCTTGTAAAATAATTGATTCTACACAATCAATATTACTTTTTTCTAATGTTTTATTTCTTGTTTCAGAACCGAGTACACCAGTTCCAAAACGCCTTGTCTAAACTGAACCAAGAAAACGAGGCTCTTAAGAAACAACTTCACAGTTTAGAAGCAGCAGTAAGTAAAACAATGGTTTTATAGTCTAGAAACAACAGGTTACAGCAATAATAATTTTTTTTGTCCTAAGACACCCAGCACGAGGTATTGTTTTTCACATTACTTCAAGCTGGACCTGACCTGGGGGTTGCGGCAATATCACTTGGATAAAATCCATTGGTGATTTGGCAGGATTTGAACACGGGATCTCAGGGACAATGTCCCATGCTCTAACCACTAGACCAGCTCGCTTCCCCACATCAATAGCAATAGCATTATAAGCTTTACAATAAAATAATAATGATTTAAATCCAATCTAAATTGATCACTGACTAATATTCATTTATTTTTCTTTACCATCTTATGTGAATACAATGCAAGTTTAAATATATTTTTTAAGTGTTATTAGACTTAATCTCAAATTAAACCCACACTAAATTACTGTAAGTGAATTATTGTAATATTCCTATACTATTTGAAAGTGAATATTTTGAATTCCAAAGGTAAGCTCATAATATTGGATTTTCAAACGTTAGTTCAAAAAAAATAGTGCAATCAAGTTTAATACTACTTGCAGAATAGCTACCTACTTGTTTATGTGTTCCTCATTTTTGTTCAAAAATTTAGTTGAGCTCCTAAAATTATTACAGACATTTATATTATTTATTTTCAGTACCGGGTATTATAGTTTATTTCTATTGTAAAAGGAAACGCACGTTTTATTTACAAGTCATTTTGACATTAATTATTTAAGTTTCAGTGGCATTTCAATTTATATTATGACGGAAATTGTAACCTGGCAAAGCACAACACATTAAAGCTGATAAAACAACAAAATATAACACCATTTATGTCATAATGTTAAGTGATACACAGTATTTGTACAAGAAAAGGCCACATCAGGATTTCCTTCTCAATTCAATTTCATTCGTCTAACTGGGCCAACGGAAGCTATTCTCCAACTAAGCGCTGTGGCGTCAGTCCAACTTTCTTGGCTTGGGAATCAGGAAACGTTGTCCATCTCTCAGTTTCAACATCTCGAGTTAAATCATTTATTTTGTTCACTTCCATAAACTACTGCCAAGTTCCAGAGGTCATCCATTTTCAAAACATCCTTTTTTTGTACCTCTATTATTCTTGTATATTAAATTAATTTACAATTACTTATATTTATGTTAATTTACAATTACTTATTTATATTAAATTACTCTATTAAATCTTGTATGTTTTCTGTTTTATGAAAATTTTACTTGGGAAGACTTTTTAAAAATTGACAGCAGACCAAAATATTTGTTCTTAGTATAATAGCACAATAAGTCTATAGTCTAACTGTAAATTTCCTTTTGTCGTTAAATAGTTTGGATAAAAATTCAGATAAGCAAATGGGATTTTTACGTTTTGATTTGCATTGATTTTTTTCTCAACTTTTTATAACAAATCTAATACTTTCAAAATGCTTAGTGAATTTTCAAATCTTAACTATAAATAAAGGGAATATATTAGTTTAATTTTCAATGCGTTATATAATAGGTATCCATATGTATATGTTTTAAGTGTTATGAGACGTTTCTTTTATTTACTTTCCATAAATTTAATAACACGTACAATGCTGATCAAGAAGTTATCAATTTTTAAATAATCTTTATACATTTTTTATCATCATAATGTAAGAAGATTGTAATAACCTAGGGCCTATAAGACAATAATAAACAATTTAAATAGACTTTGTAAAAAATTTAGCTATTGCATAAGTTAAAAAAACTAATTCAATTCTTGATTGCATAGTAACCAAAAAACAATTTCAGTCGATGAAAGCTGAGACTAGGAACGGCTCTACATTCCACCATGATTCTACTGTTGAATTGCGAACGCTCGGTGTAACTTTTGCATTATAAAACTTTTAATTAGCTATTTCGATACTTGAAACTTGAGTTGTTCTTGTTATTTCCCCTAAACCTGCCTTTCTACTCGCGTCTTTGTTGTGTGCTTGTTATCGAGATAATAAGAGGGGTTTGTTTCTTTTAAAGCGGTATCTTCGAGAAGATTTTTTGTGCTTGACTTTTTGTCGAAAAATAACAAGGGGGTATTGATATTTAAACAATGTAAAACATTTTGATGATTAAAATATTTGAGGTTTATATATTGAGAATTTTTTACTTTAAAACAATAAATGGTGTCATCAAAATCTGTTCTAATCTAAGCACTGTTCCTCTTTGAAATTTAGTTTTCCTATACAGGTTTTGTCTTTGCAGGGAGCAGGTGAGGTCCAAACAGCTCTGATAGAGCGGCTCCGTGTGTTAGAGACGGACAACCGCTCATTGACCAGAGAGGGCGACGCTCAGAGGAGACAGTACGAGAGGTGTCTGGACGACGTGGCCAACCAGGTGGTACGAGCACTACTGGCTCAGAAGGTAATGCTCTAATGTTTTAGATATCATTACTTTCAACCGCACTCTCTGAACTAGCGATAATCATCGGTGGCCGATGCATATCAATATTTTTCTATAATTTTTTGAAGATTTTTACAACAATAGTAGATTACAAATGCTTTTTTTTATGAATTGAACAGTTTTTTGCTCAACCATAGATTATTTTCTGTAGTTTATTTGCATCTGTTTTAACAAAAATGTAAAACTCTTCGAATAACTAATCTTTGAATTTTACAGCTTGATTCAGGCTAATCTATTCATGTCGCTTTAACCATGGTACACATATCTAAAGTCAATCTCTTAACCAGTTAAAAGAAAAAGAAAAAAATAGCCTAATTATTATTTCCTATATGGGAAAATTGCTAAACAAGACTCTTGAAATAAAATGTTGCAAAACCCAATTTGGTCAACAATTTTCAGCATTTGAGTCATTTTACCAATAAAATATCAAAGATATGAGTTCAAAATTAGATTTTACAGTGTACAATGTTTATTTGCGCACATTTATCAACAACATCATGTTCCAGAGTTTGAGAGAGGAGATTGAGACTCTACAACAGAGGGTTCGTGACCTTGAAACTCAAAACAGGACTTTGTCTTCTCTACTTCTACAGCAGCTCTCCTCAGTTACGTCTGCTAGTGAACCTTCAAGGTCGACACCTACAATTGTGAGTGATATTAGCTAATTGTTCTCATTTTTTAAATACATTTTTTGTGTATTCTAACACTATTTGAATTCTTTTGTACTTTCAAGGGTGCGGTCGAAACTCTGTGCTTCCGACAACCTTTAGTAACATAATATCCTCAACTGATTGTCTGATGACTCTTTGCATATCTTATCCTGTAGTATAGTAGACTATCTCTGGTTCAGTATGTTTGTCCTAACCTAAAAAGTTCTCTTAAAACCCATTTCTTTAGTGTTTTTTTTAAATATTTTTGGATGTTTTAAATATCACTACATAATTTGTATGAATAATAGAATCCTAATTATGACGTATATTGCAGATAATACTACCAAGGAATTTTTTCAAGTAACATTTCTAGATTCTAGTTCTTGATACATGTCTTAGCACTAACGTAACTTAATCCTAAACTAAACAGTATTTCAGGATAATCAGAACATTTATTTCAGACTTAAAATTTGATATGGTAAAGGTTAGAACTGATACCATGTTAGGGTAAAAAGACATGTTTTTTGTGCTAGAAGTTGGCGCTGCCTGCGCCAGGCCGTCCCGCCAGCTGTGACGACGCAAGGTTGCGGTTGTGGAGAGACAGTGTCGTGTGGCTGCCTCTACAGCGACCTTCCTCTTTAGATCTGGACTGTTGTCAGTACCGCCACCGTGCACACCCCAACGTACCCCGCCTCGGTGAGCTCACTTATAAATAATGAGGGATAGTATCAGTAAGATTAGTAGGATAAATTCCATAACAAATTGAAGATAATTTGATTTCAAGGGTAAAAAGTGGAAGACAGTGTAGTAGGCAGATTACTCATAGCTCTCCGGTCGAGACGAGACTACAGTAGACTTGCTGCATGATGGATACAATTGGCACACATTAAAATATGTAGCGGATTATCCCTAACCGCAAAACTTAGGGCTATTTTCATGATTTATGCTTTACTGTTACGTTATGTAACCAGAAGACCAGTTATTTTTTATGATTAGATTGTTTTATTTGGTTAAACAATGTTTTAAATGACTGAAATAACAAGAAACAAACTATAAACAAAACAATACCTCTACAGTCTGTGAGGTACCAAATTTTAAGGGGGGTAAAAAAACGTATTGATAGTCAACAAACACCATAACTTACCCGATTTTTACCCACAACATCCTACTCCTAGGCCTATGTGTTGGCCATAGCTTAGGCTATGGGCCAAAGAACGTAGGCCTACTTTTAATAACAGTGAAGTACACAAACACACCCACAGCGATATATTTATTCATAATAGCACTCCGTTTCACATAATAAAGTTAAAACGACCGATTTTACGAATATTTAACGCCGATTACAACATCACTTAACCTCAAAATGGTGTTTGTTGACCAACGACAGACGACAACTAGACCGGCTCAACAGGCGAATCCCCGATCAGCTGTTGGCTAGTTTCTGAAATCGCCACCGCAGCGCTTAAGCCTCGACCGAGGAAATCATGATTTGAGCCGGACAAGATTATTCCCTGTTTGACCGCCGCGCCGACTAGCTCACACACGACTTACGAATACGACCCTACGATTCGATTACGAAGGTTAGCTAACACACCGGTTAGGCTCCTTTTTACGTTTCACGTTATTTTTGTTTTATCTTTATTATACGCATACTTAACTTATTATACCTTTTCGTTTTCTTAAATTACCGATTCGAATTATCTAAATTTAATATCGTAACTTGAGTCTTGACCCGCCAGTTCCTGCCTGCCAGTGACTAGCGGTGGCGATCGTTTATTTTATTTTAATCAATTAGTTTCGAAATTACGATTTATCCGTTCGCTTAACAAATAATTATCACGTCTAAATTATATCTCGTTTTCACTGTTTTAATACCCCGAGACTTGTCGTCTAAGTTCTAAACCCCGTCTTTGGCGGGTGAAAAAACCAAGTCTTGGGAGTAGGCTGATTCGAACAATCAGCTACGTAAATTAATACTAAATCTATTTTAAACAACATCACGATAAATTCTCCGTCCAATTATATAAATTAGGCCCGACGACTCTGTAGGAATTGTTTTACCTTTTATTCGACATTAGATCGATTACCAACGTCTTTAACTAATTAGTTGCATTTTAATACGAGTATTTACATCAAATTGGCTTATGATTGGATACTCGTCGGTCCTACAGAGTCATTCTAAAAGTTAGGCAAAATTCTCCAAAACACTTTTACGAAGGCTGGGATGATATAACTCCAACTGAGCGTCTGCAGGATTTCCTGAGCGCTTCTAGAGCTCTGAGCCTTCGATTAAATTTTAAATAAATTGATCAGTCAAAGCCGTGACAACTTCGTATCGACCCCTGGATTTTTCTCGGCTCCTTCTGAGTACTCCGGGGAAGAAATTTGAGTGTGGCCAGTTCTAGGGGTAGGCCTAGCCTGACTTAGGTGAATACCAGTTTGTTCCCCCCCTAGAATTTTGCTTCACATCTCTGGCGCCCGAACAGGGACTCGAAAACACAGTTTTGATTTCGAAATTTAGACGAAATGACTGGAGAAACAAAATCAACGACTTCGAGTACCCCGACGACCATCGCCCGACCCGATACGCTACCGATCGGCCACGTGACGGTATCCACGGTGGGAATTCAAACGTCAACGACGACCACGACCACGACGACGATCTCCCAAATACCTTCGACGATGGAGAGCATCCCGAAATCACCGTTGAATAACTTCGTTTTCGTCGGCCCTACAGAGTCATTATAAAAGTTAGGCACATCTCTGGCGCCCGAACATTTGGACTCGAAAACACAGTTTTGACTTCGAAATTTAGACGAAATGACTGGAGAAACAAAATCAACGACTTCGAGTACCCCGACGACCATCGCCCGACCCGATACGCTACCGATCGGCCACGTGACGGTATCCACGGTGGGAATTCAAACGTCAACGACGACCACGACCACGACGACGATCTCCCAAATACCTTCGACGATGGAGAGCATCCCGAAATCACCGTTGGACGACTCACGCGTCGGCTGGATTCATACTCTGAGCAAACAGCTCCTGATAGCCGAGATGAGTAAATATCATCTAGAAACTGAGGGTAGCGTTGCCGAACTTCGCAAACGGTTTTGTGATTATTGGAAGAACCCGTTGGGAAGCATCGGTCAGCCGATGAACCCGACGGCGATAGCGGCATCGGGGCCTACTGCCTCTACAGCCTACGATACACGATTTCAACCACAGTGGCTGGCACCTCCTTCAACGCACCAGGAGATGGCCAGCGTTCGAGAAATACTGAGACTCCCACCAAACGCCGATTCGGAGTCCGTTCGACGAACTCTCGCGACGTTGGTGAAGCTGCCGGCTAACGTCCCGTCACCTGGTCAAGATATTACGTCACGTCACACACTTTTCGGACCACTGGCGGAACACGACTATCGTGCTACGTTTAATAGACCCGACGAACGGCTAACATCTTACCTGACGTCACACGACCTGACACTTCCTCGACAGCCTATCATATCGTCACAAACCCATACGATGCGCCGCGATTACGAAGACCAGACCTACGAGCAACAGACCCACCTTCCGCATCACGGGTTCGAAGACCGGACAAACCAGTGGTCACAGCCCAACCAAGACCCGGGGACGTCGCGATTCCAACCCGGCTTCTCAGCCTCATGTCCAGGCAACCCCAACCCGTGGGGTGGGACGAGAGTGGGAGACGACACGCCGTCGTTGTGCAATCGGGTGCGCAAGTGGAATCTGCGGTTTGACGGCAAGAAGGACCCGGTCTCGTTTCTGGAACGTCTGGAAGAGTTGGCGGAAGCCTACTCGATCGACCTCAATGAAGTGACGAAGGCACTGCCGGAACTTCTTCACGGCCCGGCTTTGCTTTGGCACCGTAACTGTCGCGGTAGTTGGCGTTCGTACGGAGATTTTAAACGTCAGTTCGAAGATCAATACCTCCCTCCATTATATCGACAAGATCTAGACGACGAGGTAAGGCGACGGACACAAGGCGAGCGCGAATCCATTCGTGACTACGTCGTCGCGCTCTCAACGTTGATTCGGAGGAGCGGTACGTTCTCGCAGCAGGGTAAACTCGACCTCATATACCGCAACATGCGCCCGGAGTACAAATTAACCATACGTCGTACCGATTTTTGTACTCTGGAGGAGTTGCTGGAAAGAGCTGAGGGGTACGAGGCGTATGTACGTTGCCGACAGACCTTCCGTCCGCCGCCACCACCTTCGATGTCGCTGATCCCGGAAACCGCCTACGTTCGAGATCGGAAAGTCGACCGGGTCTACAACAGCGCGGCGATTGATCGCTGGTCGGACGACCATGCCGAGGAATCCGAGGTGACGGCCAGGTCACGACCTGGTAAACCCTTGGAGGATGGCCGCAAGAGAACGACGTTTGCTCGGTCCAACTCCCGTGACCCTTCGCCACGAGACGACTACAGGCAAAGGCGGACACCGGACTCTACGAGAACCAGATCGCCCGGTACGACGAACGAACGAGCGGCAGGCTCTCGGCAATTCGTGTGCTGGAACTGCGACGAAACCGGACATCTGTTTCGCGAGTGTTCGAAGCCCAAGGTCCTGCGTTGCTACCACTGCAAGAGGGTAGGCATCTCGACGCGTCGCTGCAACTGCGGCTCGGGAAACGGACATCGGGTTCAGTCTGCGGGAGGTCGCCTGAGCCCCGTAGAACGAAACGTCACACGACCTCCGAGGAGTGGAATCGCTGGCTCGGCTTCATAACGGAGTTCACGGGAACCGTCAGCCGCGAACGCGCCCCCAGAGATGACCGACCCTTCGTCGACGTGGTCATCTCAGGTGAGACGTTCAGCGCCCTCGTCGATACCGGCTCGTCGGTCAGTCTGATTGGAGATCGCGCCGTACGTCACCTTCGGACGTGCGGCATCGTACCCGACCAGACTGACGTCAACCTACGCATGGCCAACGGAGCGAGTTGCCGTGTCTCGGCTCGGTACAGGGTGGACGGTGAAATCGCGGGCCAGACGTATTCGTGGGATGCCCTATATGTCCCGAACCTGAGTGTGGAGGTGGTACTCGGCATTCGGTGTATTACTGACCTCGCTCTTGTCAGTGTACACACCGCTGTACGAAACTTCCACAACGACGACGTTCCCCCGTCCTATCTGGTAAACGCCCTCGAAAATTTGACCTCCGAAGAAGACACGAGACTCACGGAATTCCTGGAACGCGAACTACCACTGTTTGACGACGTTTCGGGGAAGACGGCGTTGGCTGAGCACACGATACGGCTCAAAGAAAACGCCGCCCCCGTCAAGCAACGGTATTATCCCAGGAATCCCGCGATGCAAGCAATCATCGACGAAGAGGTGGCGACGATGCTCCGCGATGGTGTTATTGAACCATCGGATAGTCCTTGGAGTTCGCCAGTCGTGCTGACGAGGAAGAGTAACGGCAAATTTCGTTTCTGCATCGATATGCGCAAAGTCAACGAATGCTCTGTCCCCGACGCGTATCCGCTGCCCAGAATCAACGCGATTCTGGAGAAACTACGGCCGGCGAGATACATCAGTACACTGGACTTGAAGCAAGGCTATTGGCAGGTGCCGTTAGCGAAGGAAAGCCGACCGATCACCGCGTTCACCGTACCCGGGTTAGGCCTATTCCAGTTCACGGTTATGCCCTTTGGACTCCATTCCGCCGGAGCGACCTTTCAACGCCTCCTGGACAAGGTCATCGGTCCGGAGCTTGAGCCGAAGGTGTTTGCCTACCTCGACGACCTCGTTGTGGTGTCCGCAACGTTTACTGAGCACTTGCAGATCCTCCGGGTGGTCTTCGAACGCCTTAGAAAGGCTGGCCTACGTTTAAACCCAGAGAAGTGTAACTTCTGCAAAAAGGAGCTCAGATATCTCGGACACGTCGTCAACAACGAGGGGATATCGACCGACCCAGAGAAGGTCCGTGCTATCGCCGAGTTCCCACGACCTACGAACGGTAAAACCCTTCGAAGCTTTCTCGGTCTCGCGTCCTGGTACCGTCGTTTCGTGGACAGGTTTGCCCAAGTAACCGCCCCGATGCGACAACTACTGAAGAAGAACGCTCGGTGGCTGTGGGGCCCTGAACAGGATGAATCGTTCGAGGAACTAAAACGACGCCTCACTTCCGCTCCTGTCCTAGCCTGTCCCGACTTCACGGTCCCGTTTGTCCTCCAGACCGACGCGTCGACCATCGGTCTTGGAGCCGCTCTCACGCAGAACCAAGAATCCGGCGAAGTCGTAATCGCTTACGCTAGCCGACTGCTTACGGACCAAGAGAAGAACTATACAACGACGGAGTTAGAGTGTCTTGCGTTGGTTTGGGCGACCCGGAAATTCAAGCCGTACCTCGAGGGTTACAAGTTCGTCGCCATAACCGACCACGTCGCGCTGAAATGGCTAATGAGGCTACACGAGCCTAGCGGACGTCTAGCGCGGTGGGTGATGGAACTTCAGCAGTACACCTTCGAGATCAAGTACCGGAAGGGCACCCTGAACCGCGTCGCCGACGCTTTGTCGAGGCAACCCGTGACCAACGAGAGCCAATCGGGCCTGGTCGCGGTGAGTCATCTCACATCAGAGGTGACAGACGCGCCTCGCGAGCGATGCACGACCAGACGCAGGGAATCGACGAGACCGGGAGACCAACCGAGTGACGCGACGCAATCCGACGCACGCCCCGACGAAGCCAACGACGTCCCTCCGACTGATTGGTACGACCGGTTGTACGCAGCTGTGACCGCAAACCCTCGACGCTATCCGCGATATCAAATCGTGGAGAACCGCCTTTACCGAACCTCCCAACGCCATGGGAGTGGTGGTAAGCTGTCCTGGAGAATGTGCGTTCCTCCAGGGCAAGTAGAGGCGGTACTACGACAGAACCACGATGACGCTACGGCAGGACACCTTGGTGTCAAGAAAACACTTCGCCGTGTAGGGCCCGAATATTTTTGGCCTGGATGGCGTCGGGAGACGAAAGCCTACGTAAGATCCTGTGATGCCTGCCAAAAGTACAAGGTGGTGCAGACGAAACCGGCAGGGAAGATGTACTTCCGGGCTCCAAAAGGTCCGTGGTACACGGTGTCCGCCGACCTAGTGGGTCCGCTACCCAGATCGGGCAAGGGCCACCGATTCCTGCTGGTGATCCAGGACACGTACAGCAAGTGGGTTGAGCTATGTCCTATCGGGTCAGCAACGGCCAAGAACGTTGTCAGCAAAACTAAAGAGATGCTCCTTCGATACGGAGCACCTGAGTCCATAATCACCGACAACGGGACTCAGTTCGTTTCGAACCTCTTTAGGGACCTGGCGACGGATTGGGACATAACTTTCACGAACACGGCTCCCTACAGTCCACAATCGAACCCGGTAGAACGAGTCAACCGCGTTGTGAAGACCATGATCTCTCAGTTCGTGAAAGAGAATCATAGGTCATGGGACGCCCATATCGCCGAGCTTCAGTTCGCCATAAACACCGCCGTCCACGATTCGACGGGTTACACGCCGGCGATGCTAACATTAGGCCGCGAACTCAGAGTCCCGAAAGCTGTCCGAGGGAAAACGTTGGAGGCGACACCCGACGTTGACGGACAGCCAACGCTCGCCGAAGTCCACGACAGACGAACGCAAGAATTCGGACGCATCTACGAAAAGGTCCACGCCAACCTCAAGACCGCCTACGAGCAGCAGGCGCGGTACTACAACCTCCGCCGACGGGAGGTGCAGTACCATAACGGCGATCGCGTGCTGCGGCGAATTCACACGTTGTCTTCCGCGGCCGACGCTGTGGTCGGGAAGCTCGCGCCCAAGTTCGACGGACCCTGTGAGGTTGAGGAGCGGCGTGGGGCTAACATGTACACGGTGAGAGACGTGCGCACGGGGATGTCACACGTGGTTCACGTGAAGGACCTGAAGCCCTACCACCAACGTTGAGGGCCGAAGAATCATTCCCGTACGGATGATTCAGAAGTTTTTTTTAGTTTTATCGTTCATCCTTTTTCTCATTTTACGAGAGGTGTTTTATACCAGTTGGTTTTTATTTTCGTTCAAGAAGCCCTTTTTATTTTGTTTTCAAGAAGATTTTATTTCTTTCGTTTCCTTTTCCCTCTCGTACACGACCTCTTCTTCACGTCGCCGTTTCTTCAGCTACCCCTTCTAGGAGACCTTTGGACAAACCCCCCTACGTTTGAAATCTTTTTTTTCTCTTTTTTTGTGAAGTTGGTAAGGGGTGTGAGGTACCAAATTTTAAGGGGGGTAAAAAAACGTATTGATAGTCAACAAACACCATAACTTACCCGATTTTTACCCACAACATCCTACTCCTAGGCCTATGTGTTGGCCATAGCTTAGGCTATGGGCCAAAGAACGTAGGCCTACTTTTAATAACAGTGAAGTACACAAACACACCCACAGCGATATATTTATTCATAATAGCACTCCGTTTCACATAATAAAGTTAAAACGACCGATTTTACGAATATTTAACGCCGATTACAACATCACTTAACCTCAAAATGGTGTTTGTTGACCAACGACAGACGACAACTAGACCGGCTCAACAGGCGAATCCCCGATCAGCTGTTGGCTAGTTTCTGAAATCGCCACCGCAGCGCTTAAGCCTCGACCGAGGAAATCATGATTTGAGCCGGACAAGATTATTCCCTGTTTGACCGCCGCGCCGACTAGCTCACACACGACTTACGAATACGACCCTACGATTCGATTACGAAGGTTAGCTAACACACCGGTTAGGCTCCTTTTTACGTTTCACGTTATTTTTGTTTTATCTTTATTATACGCATACTTAACTTATTATACCTTTTCGTTTTCTTAAATTACCGATTCGAATTATCTAAATTTAATATCGTAACTTGAGTCTTGACCCGCCAGTTCCTGCCTGCCAGTGACTAGCGGTGGCGATCGTTTATTTTATTTTAATCAATTAGTTTCGAAATTACGATTTATCCGTTCGCTTAACAAATAATTATCACGTCTAAATTATATCTCGTTTTCACTGTTTTAATACCCCGAGACTTGTCGTCTAAGTTCTAAACCCCGTCTTTGGCGGGTGAAAGAACCAAGTCTTGGGAGTAGGCTGATTCGAACAATCAGCTACGTAAATTAATACTAAATCTATTTTAAACAACATCACGATAAATTCTCCGTCCAATTATATAAATTAGGCCCGACGACTCTGTAGGAATTGTTTTACCTTTTATTCGACATTAGATCGATTACCAACGTCTTTAACTAATTAGTTGCATTTTAATACGAGTATTTACATCAAATTGGCTTATGATTGGATACTCGTCGGTCCTACAGAGTCATTCTAAAAGTTAGGCAAAATTCTCCAAAACACTTTTACGAAGGCTGGGATGATATAACTCCAACTGAGCGTCTGCAGGATTTCCTGAGCGCTTCTAGAGCTCTGAGCCTTCGATTAAATTTTAAATAAATTGATCAGTCAAAGCCGTGACAACTTCGTATCGACCCCTGGATTTTTCTCGGCTCCTTCTGAGTACTCCGGGGAAGAAATTTGAGTGTGGCCAGTTCTAGGGGTAGGCCTAGCCTGACTTAGGTGAATACCAGTTTGTTCCCCCCCTAGAATTTTGCTTCACAAGTCTGACGAACAGAACTAGCAATAAATTTGGCTTCAGATGTTCTCTAAGGATGAGAAATCTAAATCTAAGGGAGATTTTATCCATGCTTGTATGTAGTGAGTGAACTTGATAATCTTACCTAAATAAAATTTATCACAGCAGGTAAAGAGGAGGATGAGGGCAGTGAAAGCCCCGAGAGTGGGAACCGAGACGAAGGTTACTCCACAATGTCATCTGACGTGCAGGGCCCTGGCGAGGTTATAGCTCGACGTGGTCTGGAGGACCTGAAGGAGGCTAGCGACGAGACGGACGCAACAGTCGCTCCTCTAGACACCACCTCGTCCCCTGACAGGCTGCCAGAGCCTGATTTAGTGTTGATACCCCTCAGTGTGGCACTCAGTGTAGGCAGTGCTGCCAACCGTCACAGTTTCCCTCCAGTCAGAGAGTTGCTGCCGTACCAACACGTCATGAGGAGCTTCAGTGACTCTCATCTTAGCCTTAAGGTGACTTCACATTTTAAACCCTTAATTGAATTAGTTATCAATTGTTTAAGTTAATTGTACTGACAATTATTTAGGATATTGATCAGGCAACCTTTTAACTTTCTCGATGTACTTGCCAACCCAGGTGTTTTCTGCTGAAATTTTTACAAATATCAACGATTATACTATTTTTTTCACATAGGCTAGCAATATTTTTTTAAATATGAGCGATCTATGAAGTGAGAAACAATAAATCTAATAATTTTTCTTTCTACAGTTGGCACCATCGCCAGCTGCCTCTAGTTACTCTTTGACATCAGCTGAGTCAGTGATGCTGCAGGGGTGCCACTACACAGGGGCGCCGCTACGTCACAGTCAGAGGACCAGGGGTGCCAACACACTTCTCAACACTGCTCTTCCTGAGGAAGAAGATGACACTGGATCTTGGTGCAGTGGGGACTGGTTAGTCTGATACTAAATATTTCCAACAATAACATTATCTTCAAACATCCCGTTGATTGTTTATCTCTTTGAAGCGGTGTAAAGAATGTACCCAGCAGTTCGCAGCACAATAGCTGTACAAAACATTTTTTATCCCACCTTCACATCCTATGACACTAGTATAGTCCGGAACCATCTTACATATTACTACAGACTACGACTGGTCGCGGAATTATTTTTTTTAGATAAATCCATTGGTGATTGACATGTTCTACGCTCAAACACTAGACTCGCTCCATCTGGTGCTTAGGTAATTCGTCGAATCGTGCATGCTAATGTCACATCCAGTCTTTATCGTGTCACTTGTCCAAGTCACTAAACAAAAACTGTTTAGTTTAATAATATTCGATGAGTCCATAACCCATCATAAGTTGACTTTTCTTAGCTTACAAGTTAATTTTATCATTATTTAACATAATCTGTTATTAATTGTATTGAATTCCGGCTCTCTCCCAGTCCCATGCAATTTGGAAATTCAAAACACCTGTATATGAACTCTTGCGTCCTAGATTTTTTAGTTGTTTAATTCATCTTTGGTAAATTTTCAGCAGATAAAAGCTTTTGTTAAACAAATCTACTTGGAAGACTGGTAGAGTGGTAAGAGTTTCAGATCAAAAAAATTTAAATAAAACTTCCCTAACATCTAGTCATAATTTTTATCATTGACATTTTCAATATAGACAAAGTTCTCCTTGCCTTAATTGTTAAATTTTGTACTACTCAGGTTTTTACCAGAAGTTCAGGATAAGCTCAAAATTAACACTTTTACATTGTGAATTTCCATTTAATTGCTAGGATTTTATCTAGGGCCTCTAGGGTAGAAGTCTTCCACTATAACCATCTGATAAGCGACATCCCTAACATCAACTTGGTTTGCAGGTGGGACGCAGACTATGTGCAACATTGGCTAAGGCTTGACGAGACTCGTTCCGCCTTGCAGCAACAGATGGAGTATGATGCGGCCGAGCTAGAGGATTGGACCATGGACCCTCCAGAAGATGGTGGGGCGTGGCGGGGCAGTGGTGGAGGTAAGTTTGGGGGATACTCGTAGTAAAAGTCGTTGCCAGTTTTATAATAAAAATATATTTAGTTGGATTGAGCCAGTGGCAGATGAAAATTACTGATCCCTCTCAAATACGCCAATTTTCAACGACATCCTTTTATAACTTTTTATCCATGAGGAGTTTTCTAATGGTAATGATTGATATTCATTGTGTAATTTTGTTAAGACTAACTGCTACCGTTTAGTATGATAATATTTTTGTTGGGCATCACTCACCTTATTGAAATCACGAGAACGTAGTCCTTGTCATGTCACAATCATACACAGTTCATTACAAAAGTTCTCAACACCGACGTTTCGCCGCACCAAAATCAACGTGCGGCGTTTTCAAGGTTATTCCTCTTCTCACGCAATCGTTGTGAGCGCCTAACCACGACTGACGACCCCGATGGTGGAGGAGGGGGAGGGGGGACTCTGTTATCTAGAACAGCTGATGGCATTATCTTCTTTTATTTAGATTTTTCTATGCATCCTTTAATTTCTTTCTCTATTAGTGTATTGTAAACCGGGCTGATATCAATGGATGCGTTGGCTAATGAATCTTGATCTGAAGTAATAAACAAAGCCTCAATAATATTCCTTTTCTTCCAATTAGGCTCCTTGTATAATATACAGCTTTCCTCCCACTTTATACAATGCCCGGTGTCATGAACGTGTTCAGATATTATTTTTGAACCATAGGTTACACGTGTATCAACTTTTTTCATGTGTTCATGAACCCGTATGAGAGCCGGTTTGTTACTACTACTGTTGTTGTTGCTACCGTTTAGTTCAGACTTCTTGCAAAAACTAGGAAGAACCGGTCCTAAATCTACCCCTTTAAACTGTTGCTTCCATGTACCTTAATATTGATACTAACCATTGTTTTCAGGCCATCCTCCACTTACACACAGCCAGACATTGCCCAGCATTCAAGAGTCCATCGCTGCTGAGCTGGAGGAAGACAGCAGCGAATGTCTGTGGAACTCTTCTAGCTATTTGAGCACTGGCGACTTTAAAGGTGACAGACATTTGTGTACGTTGTGGTGTTCTTGTGATGATTAGATCTAATGATTAAATAAAGACTAGTATCTGAATAGAAGACCAGATGTGGTAGATTCAGGAGTTTTTTTTTAGGGGGATCAAGTTAAGTTAGCTTTTTTGTTGTGTCAGTTAGGATAGCGAGTAGGGAGAGTACTGTAGTTCAAGAATAGAAAACTTTCCTACCACTCTTTCTCTAAACTCGGAACACAAATTGGATCTAATGCAAATTTTTAGATTACTACAAAATAACAAAAACATGTGCATCCTGCTTACCACTCTAAATTATTTTATTCATACCTGGGAAATCTATAACCTAGGAGCTTTTGGAGACGCAATTAAATATCACAAAAAAATACCCGTGTGTTCTAAAATTTATCTGTGTTAGCTAAACTACCTCTCATTTAAAAAGCTCCTTTAACATCAGAAGAAATAAATTTTACCAGTATTTTTAGAAACTGGAAGAAATGTTGTATTGGTGGTTATAATATCATAACAGTATTGTTTCATTATGAGTATTGCTGGTGTTACAGAGGTTGGACGTAGTCTGTGGCCGTACAACCATTGTCTCATTTCCCCCGGAGGTGACTCCTGGTCCAGCGTAGGTACAAACTCCGAGGACTCCAGGTCCAAAAGATCCTCCGCAGCCTTGAGCACCGACAGTGGAGACATCTCCGCCATCGGCACAGACTTCACCAGAGACTTCTACAGACTCGTCAAGTTCGAAAGTACAAAAAGCTTAGCATCTACCTCATCTCGTAGTCAAGCAGGAGATTCGTCCTTCAGAAAAAGCGAGATCCCTCATTTTGCATCAGACAGAGAACAAGCGTTGCAAAGTGTCCTGCACTTCATAGCGGAGCAGCAAGAATACGTTCTGTCAAGAGAAGTGTTGGATACGAGACCGGAAATCAGCTTGGAGGAAATGTCGCCTGACGCTGAAGACTTACCCTCCAAAGAAACAGTAGAAGAGATCGCACAAATCTGTGAAGAAGTGAAAAGGCTTTCCGTAGTAGAAAATGAAGTACAAACTAATTCTAATAATAAAAGAGCTTCTACCAGTTCAGAGGTTTTGTTAAATGAGTATAACGCATCAACTTCTTTAAAGAATGATTTGAAGTTTAGCGTAGACGAGTCTGCTACGCAGAATTCTGAACCTTCTCTTGTACAGTCTGAAGATGGAGTAATAAATTCTCCTAAAAAACACCATGAAACTCCAAATGAACCAATTGAAGCCAAAGTCCTAGGCAATGTCCAGCCTATAGAAAACAGGAAAGAAGTAGTCAAAAGTGCTGAAGTCAGTTCCAATGAAGATATTATGAGTAGTTTACCAGTAAGGAGTTTAAGGGTAGATATTTGTAGAGCGGAATTGAGGCCGGTTCCAGAAGAAGATGAAGAACATCCAACTATGTCTGAATCTTTAACATCAACATTGTCGACTCCTGAAACCGTCCTCAAGGCAAGTCCCCTCCCATCCTCCGATTTAGATCAAACCTCGTCTATGGCTGACTCTATGGATTCTACAGCCGTTTTATGTTCTGATGAACCAATTCTAGTCAACGGGTCAAAGACCTTAAACTTTCACGAGCGAGCAACTTCCAAAGATGTGATAGACGAACTGAACCGAATGATTCGTAAAGGAGAGGAAAAAACTGAAGAGGTGGAAGTTCAAAACTCTCCTACCAATCTAGACTCAGCCTGTTGCTGTCCAACGGGATGGGTTCATGTTGAACGGGAAATTGACTTTACGGATCCTAAGGTGAGAAAGTAATATAAATTAACTAAAATATTAGAAAAAGTTTACATTGTCACAATAAAATTACTTTCATGTAGATCCTTGTATTCCCTTTTTGAGCAATCATTATTTCAACCAATGATGTTACAGACAAGGGCCAACCTGTTAGACGTGATGTTAGCGGCTAGTCGTAGTTCCTCCAGTGCTGCCAGTTCCAGCTCCAGCTCTAGCTCCAGTGCTGCCAACAGTGAGAGCGGAGATGAACCACAGGACTACCAACATCTGCACAGGTTGCATCGCTTCCGTCGTCAAAAGAAAGGTGTGTGCGCGTAAGATTTGGAAAGTTTAGGAAATAGTTCTCGTTATACTAGCAAACAGACCTCATACATGATGGACCCTCTTGACAGGACATGTGTTACTTTACTTGTATCGCTTTTATATAAATTAATATGAAGAAAAGTAAGGGAAACTCAGATAATGGTCTACCAAACATCTAAAAATCATTAATTAATTTAAATTTAATTTTAAAAGCTTAAAAAATTAGTTTTGATTCAGTCGAGATAATTGATTTTGGTTGATAAGGTTCTGTCTTTCTTTATAAGTCACAACTAACGTCCAATGCTGTGGTTATACCTACTGTATCCCAGTATTTTGGAACCCTTGCTCCTCCCAATGTTTAATGGCCTTAAAAAATTAAAATAATAAACAATTATTCCACAGCTTGTGACAATGAAAAATGCTTGAGACCTTGAACTGTTAAAGTCATCCATAAATCAATCCATCTGTAAATTTTCCTTAAAGTTATGGTAAAAATTTACAAAAACGTATTTAATCTTCAGTTTTACTTTTTTCCAGCGTCCGCTACAAGAGAACCGCTAGGGGCTCTCCGATGTCCGCTGTCTGTTCCTCGCATGTCTATCATCGGAAGAGACGACTTCTTCGTTCGCTACGGCGACAAAGAGAGAGAGGCTGTTGCAAGTTTCGATTTTCTGGAAGAGCTTTCGACCACTTCTCTTAGCGGAGCGTCGTCGTGTGATCAGCCCCCCGCCACCTCTTTGAGGCTTCCTCCCTCCCCTTCCCATCTCTCTCTTAGCGATTCCTGCGCGGCCAGCTTCTCAGGGTCAGAACCGAGTCTGGATGTGCAGTAGAAGTAGTCAGTACAGGGTGTAACCCCTATTTTATTCGTTGATTTGCTAGTCTCCCAAGGATTTTATAAACATCCAACCACTGAGAATTACCTTTTGCGTTCCAAACATTGAGGTTGCAGATTGTTATTATCTTATTATTTTGTTTTGAGAAAGAAATCGTTTTTTGAGCACACATTCTTTTTTAGCATTTGTTTTGGTAAGACAAAAAATCTAATAGAATCAATGGACATCAAAGATTTTTTTTTGTTTTTGCACTTAAATCCAAAAGGCAAATTATTAGGCAAAGCGAGATATCCAAAATCCTCTCAATGATCTATAAGGCTCCATTATTACTATTTGAACTTTTACAACTGAATTATAAATTTAGAATGACTTTAATACGCATAGTTCATAAACAATACTTTTTTTCAAACAAATCGAAATTCCAAAAACCGACTATAACACTTTTATGAGCTAAGTAATTAGATTAGCCCAGTAGGGTTACAGAGGTAACACAATTAATCTATTGCAATAACAGATTCATTTGAATCTTATGAATATAGACAGGGTATTATTCATATTAGAGTAAGTTTAGGGATGGCTGTTTTGTTGTCCTTCTCTGTAAACTGCTTTAATTGATTTGTACAGGAAGTACCATTATCATTTGTATCACTTAAAAATAAAAGGACACTTAAAATGTGGTAGAATGAAAAAGTCGGCAAACAATAACTCAACGATGATGGATCCTTAAATTCTCTGTATTACGTTGGAACTCAATATTTGGTGCAGAGATGGATTAAAGTCTGGAATATATCTTCGGAACTTGTTTGTATCTTTTTATTTATAGCTTTGTCTCAAATATTTATAATTGTGTTAACTAACAAAAAGTACAAGTATTCAATAGCATTTTAACTTGGTTACTTAAATTCACTAACAGCCATCCCTGTTTTTTTATATAAATGTTTTTAAACTTTTCGTGGTTTTTCCATAGACATGAAAACTACATTTAATAACTGTGTGGGAAAATTTTATGATTCCTCAGAATATTTTGTTGAATGATCAGAAAAGGAACTAATGCCTAACCTGTGAAGGGTTAAAAACTAAAATGTACAAATATCCTATCTCATTTTTATGCAAACAACTTTTTCTATGAAGATTTTAACAGTTTATGCCACTACTAGCACAAGGAAATTTCATACATTTAATTAACTCTATTCAATGTTAAAATCATACATATAAACACCTTTAAATTAAGTTGTTATATTTTCTTGGTACAAATACTTTGGTATAACATTTCTGTTTGGAGGAAAATGACTATTGTATGGCATCAATATTAATATTTATTTGTGTAATTTCCATTACTGAGTTTAAAATGCAAAAGTGTTTAAAGTGGAATACGTTATGTGTTTTTAGTAAATTAGTGATGAGTTGTTTTTCTTTAAAATTGTTCGTTTAAGATTCTTAGTATTTATTTTTAAGGGAGTTTGAATAGAGAAGGAAGAGAGTGATGGTTTTTATTAATTATTAACGTATTTATTCCTACTAATATTGTAAATTTAGTTCCAATACATATTCAGACTGATTGTAAACAATGTAACTATCCTATTTATAAAATGTAATGTAGTGTATATAAAATGTGGATACTGGATTATGGTATAAACTGTTTGTATATTTTTTGTCGCAGTGAGTAATTTCTGCCAAATCAACTAGTCTGTTGATGATGAATGATATTTTGTAAGTTTGCTGGGTTATATTTCTTTTTCATAA